GTTCTTGCTCATTCCCGACAATTTTTTTAACAACTTTTTCAAAAGAACTTCCTCTTTTAATAGTCTTTTTTATTTACTAGTGATGACAAGGATCTTTTATTTTAATTTTTATTTTTATTTTTTTTGGGAAATCGCTTGATTCAACGAATGTGTCTTCAAGTTTTTTTTTAGTGCTGCTCGATTCTTGTCAACGTTTGTTATTTGTTTGATGATGATGACGATGATGACGATTATGATTATGACAACGACGACAATTCTATAACCAGATATGTAAACTCTAACGTCAGGGCCTCCAAATGCAAAAAAATTATTTCATCTGGTAACAATTCCCTAACCGTTGAAATTGTAGTCTTTTTTAGGTTATCCTTGATGTATTGGAATCCAATAGATAAACCATTTATACAAATAAACACGTTCATGTATCTAAAATAGTTTACATGCTGGCTTAATCGTAAAAGAAATTTTTTTTACCTAGAATTGATAAAATATGATTCCAAAATATCTGGAGATTTTTTGTTTTGGTGACTATGTTGTAGGTCATTTTCATTAAGCCAATGCTCTCGTATCCTCAGTTTATTATCTTTTTTTGTGGGCGTTGCTAATGTGCATGCTAGTGCATTCGGATAAAGGGAGGGTTTGTGATAGTTGCTCGTGGCCACCAGTACCGCCATCATCGTTATCATTTACACAGTCAACACTGCACTTACTAATATTGTTAACGTAGTTGCTGCTGGTATTATTGTCATCTTCACTGTTATATCATCACCGTTGTCACCGTCATTGTCATTATTGTCGTTGTTATTATTGTTATTGTTATTATTGTCATCGATGTCATTATTTTTGTCATTGTCATCGTCATCATTATCGATGGTGTCATCATCATTGTTATCGTAATCGTCATTATTATTAACAAAGAAACCTTGGTCGATTGAATTAATGTGAGTTGAAAAAAAAGCAAATGAGAAATTCAACGTTATAAAAAATTCAAACCAATCTCAAGAAGTTTTGGTTGTTAATATTGATATTAATGATGCATGCATATTTACAACCATCTTCTAACGCAAACCGCCCTACAGTTTGTATGATATCACCGACTTGGAATCTTTTTTCTTGGTCATCACATCGCTCCCACAAAATTTCTTGAAAATTAATTCTTCTTATTCGTCAACTCCGGTCCTGAAATTTTCAGTTCCTTTTAAAAGGTTACTTGTTTCAACTAATGACTTGATGTAAACGAAATCAGTAAAACAGCATACACTATTAATAATAATAATAATATTATTATTATTATTATCATCATCATCTATTAGATCGGATAAATTTCTAATTATTAAATTTTTTTTTAATTTTAAATTTCAATTTTCACATAAATTTTAAACACCTTTCTTTACGTAATCTAATCAATTGTTGATAGGTAATAAATAGCTAAGAAAGATAACCAATAATTAATAAATCATATAAGATCGATCTAATTAATAAAACATCATGACCACATGGATCATGTAAAATTGTAAGACAATAATAGTTAACATTAAGATAACCATGCATGGATCATGTGAGATCGTAAGATAAAAACCAACCCAAGGAATTGAACCAAGCACGAAAAGGTTAGTGTGTAGTCACATACAATAATAATCTGTTAAGCAAACCATTACTATAACTGTCAGAAATCAATGTTTTTCTTTTTTATTATAAGTAAAACCAATATTCATTAAAAATTTTCGAGGGAGCGCTCTGTAGCTGTAAATTCAGCTTCAATTGCAGCTTTAATTTTTTTATATATATACACGTACAACGCGATTAAAATTCGCGGAACATTGAAATCATTTTTTGTCTTTGATTATTGCATTTTTTTAAAAAAATTTGTATCAGTGAAGCCTGATTTTTTGCCAATTTCATGATTATGTATTTTATATCCTTTATATAAAATATGAAAAAATCTTATGCAAAAAAAAAAAAAATGGACATGCTTTTTCATTTTTGTCAATTAAACTTTGAGTCTTCTACACATGCTTAAGACTATACTTTAAAGAAAACATCAAACCCGGTTTTATCATCATCTGTTAAAAACATATGATAGATAATCAAAATCAAATGGAAAAAAGAATCCCAAAAGAAGCTAGTAAAAAATTGATCTAATATATGATTGAGAATGACGTTAGAGAGAAGTGATATCAACAAAGTCTAAAAAAAAAGGATATGAATTAAGCTTTACAAGAGAACTAGCAATGAGTATCCCATAAATTTCTTTTATAAACTTCTAATGTTATTTTTGAGATATGGGATTTTTCATCATCACGGTTTTTAAATTACGCGGACCCTAAATATAAAACATGCTTGGTAACTTGATCATATGATTTGAGTGAACCCAATCGGTTTTACAAAACGTGATAATGAAATGATTCCACGTAAAATAAATATGACCCTCAATCAAAATAATGAATGATTGTAATTTAGAAATACAAAAATCATAATAAGAGTAAGGAATGATGTACCAAATAATTATCAAACCCCAAAAGAAAAACCACAATATTAAAGGATTTGCAGCAAATTTCTACAACAACAAAGGGAGTTTCTAGAAGATCCTTGCGTGTAACTTCACGGATAGTAATAATAAATAACCATAATTATATTTATTCAGTTAAATGGTAAACAAAAAAATAGTGCTTTTTTTTTTTACCACTAATATCAACCCATTATCATCAACATTATCATCACTAATAGTAACATCACTATCATCAACATAAGCACTATAATATCTGATATCATCACCACCATCACAATCCCTAACATTATCATCACTGCCATCATTTTTTATTTCATATGCATTGGCATAAATACTGAAGCATCACTGTCAAAATTATATTCAATTAAAGTATTTGGTTGAATTTTTTTATTTGATGAATCATCATCAGCACCATCCATTAATATAATAGCCAATTTGTTATTAGCCTGCTCAATTAATTTACTAAGTGGGTGGCTTGTATAGAATGCATCTACATGGTGTTTATAATTCTTTACTCCTGAAAGATTTTTTTCTGATTTAATTATCTCTTGGTGTTTAGATTCTGCTAATTTAATGATTTTCTTTCCTTTATCAGAAAATTATAATGTTATCCATATAAACATTCATCAAGTTCATTAGCAGTTGGTCTATTTTCTGGGTTCGAGTCCCAACATTTTTTCATCAATTCAGCATAGAATTCAGGAGTGTCTCTGGTAATTTCCAGGTCTCATTCCTTCCTGAATATCCATTATAAGACAATGATCATGTGGTACATTATAAAAAGATTTTTTACCTGTGGTATGTTCCCACATAGTCATCCCAAAACTATAAATTTCTGATTTTTTGTATATTGTTTATCTGGTAATACTTCAGGTGCCAGATATGAAATGACTCCAAAAATCTCATTTGGATTCTCATTTTTATCTAAATCTTCTATTCTGCTAGTATGATTAGAATATGAAAAAATATTGCCACTGTATAAGTCATGATGATATAATTATTAAAATGAATTTCCCTTAATCTAATAATAATAAAATGTATAAAGTAAATTTTACAAAAAAAATTATTAACTATAATAAATTTAAAACTTACCCTCCTAAAATAATATAAAGTGATTCAATTTTATTTTCCCAAGTAATTTCACTGAAATTTTTTGATAAATTATTATGTAAATCTCCATATTTAGCATAATTAGATACCAAAATATATTCATTCCTTTGTGATTCTATTGTACGTGAAAATGAAATTATGCGAATTCGCAATTCACATATGTGAAATTCAAATTTACATGTGTGAAATTCAAATTAGCCAATCAGAATTTCACCCCACTCCATAATATTTCAAATTCACATAATTTCAATTTCACATACAACAATTCCAAAGCATTCATTGATATAAACATTCATTTTTACTATTTGCTTTTAACTATCAATAATTATAATTAAAATCAATAATTAAAAACAACATTTATAAAAAATTATTGTTGAAAAACCTTACCTCTTTTATAACTTATCACTTGAATTATATAATCTTTTTAATACCACATTCATTTTAAATTTATCATTAAAAGATAGATAATAGTTAATCCATATTGCTTTGTGAACTTCACTAAAACCACCCTTAGACAAATATTCTATATTTTAAATTCATTAAAAGGAATCCATTCAATACAACTATCCTTGTATCTATGCATTTATTTTTTTATATTCATAAAGAAACTTGGCTATTTCTTTATTTCCACAATCAGCCACTAAGTTTTCAATTTCCTTTTCTTTGCAACCATTGCATGATGCTACTTCTTTCAATTTAACATCCATTTCAATTAAAAATTTATATAAATATTTTAATTAAATCTTTACTTGTTTCTTCCTCATTTTTCTCTAATCTATTTGAAAGTTGATTTAATGCATTTAATTGATCCATTCAAATAATAATCACATTTTATAACTTTTTTCTTACAATCAGTACAATTTTCTATTAATTTTAATGTTCAAAGTAATTCATTCAGAATATGATTAATCCTATTTTGTGTACCATGTTTACTTGAAATTGGTTTACACAATAAATCCATATCTTGGATAAATTGGTTCAATTAATAATTTTAATTTGTTTAACAATTCAATTCCCTCCATCCCTAAATATCTATTTGTGCCTGGACCTTTTTGCAATTCCAAGGCATTCGTAGAAAATATTAATATGATCGTGGATTTCACCACTTGCTTTAATTCGTGAAGCAGGGTGATTTACATATATATAAAAATTCGGGCACACCCCTAAAATAAATTCCAAGTCATGTGCCCATTAATTTAATTAATTTATGATGATTTAAAAATTTTTTTTTAATAACAAAAAATTTTTTCTTAAATGGCAGAAATAGAAGAGGCAAAACAAAGATATCCCACAATCCAATTACTTTATAATACCAGAATCTTCAGAGAAAAAAAAGCAAGCAATTGATTATAATTATCTAAAGGTAAGGGACATTTTATGCAATATGGTTTTTACAAGAATTAGTTCATATGCTCTGTCTAATACTAAATTCACAGTGTTCCTTGGTGAAAGTGAAGACTATAATATAAATGATACACATAAAACACGCAAATTGGGGCATCAACAACCTTGACTATACCTTAACAAGAAAAAATGCTGTGCTTTGTTGGTATCAAACAATTTTCTTTATTGAACTTAAAGGAAACCTAAATCAAGATGAACAACTATATAGAGGTGTAGGACAACTTCATGAACGTTTTCTATCAATGTTTGAAGCACAGCCAACAAGATCATTTGGGTTCCCTATTCTTACAGATTTTGATCAAGGATTTATTTTGTTTAAAGCAATAAAAAATGATAATGGTTTGACATTTTTGAGATCGGAGGTATGTATCAACACTTCTTAAATTCAGGTTCTAAATATCACACTGATCAATTTATTTTGCATCAAGATTGAACAAATGGATGTGGGTCGCATGACTTTATACTGTCTTTTTAGAGCTCTCCCTTCACAACTTGGTAGTAATCACCTGTTTAATATGCCACCTTTTATTAGTATTCATAATATTGCAATAAAGGATCTACATATCATAAGATATAATTCAAGATCAAAACCAATGATTCTTAAAGGCATTATAGATTCATATGGCAGTGATATTGTAGCTAAAATTGGGAGAAAGGAAAGATTAACACATGAATACAATGTCTTAAAATTTATCAATGAAAGTATTTCAAAAGGTGAGATGGGAATACCACAGTAATAGACCATGGAGATGTCATATTGGAAAACCAGAACTATTATGCAATTGTAATACCTTTCTATCAGAAATGTTTAGCAGATCTGCTACCAGAAGAGGCACTTTCCATTCATAATGCTATAAAAGATATAGCCCAATTTTTAGAGTTAGTTAAAAATATAGGTTATTGTCATTGAGATGTGACTCCCATGAATATTTACATTGATGAAAATGGTCATGGTATCATTGCTGATTAGAGAATTTCAATTAGAACAAAATACAACAGTATCAAATGGCAGCATGACCAGATTTTTTGCATCAAATAATTATCTTGATGCTGCTTACAGAGATGAACAGTACCTTTACACACATCAAGATTATTTAGAATTTTTATTTTATTGCTTGATTGACATAATTTTACCTCATCGGAAATTTTTACCATGGTTTAATAGTTTTAGTATGGGAATAAGGTTGCTTGCCAAAACTCATCCAGAAATCAATCAGCAGGGTTTCGGCAGGTTACACATTAATTGTTTATTAGAGTTTCAGCAGAGTTTCGCATTTTGAGGTTTCGCCTTTCGGCATAGTTTCAACAGGATTTTTGATAAGATTTAATATAGTTTTGCCATGGTTTCAGCAATTACTAAGGAGGTTTCGCCCACAACCTTATCGATTCTTTAGGAGAAAATCAAAAACCATATTTAAAGTTGTGTTGGCTCCTTTTTTTGATTTTCCTTCTGGTAATTCATCTTTTCCTATAGTATAATTTAACTGATTATTTTTTCCATCATCTGTCTTACATACACCAAAAAGGTGTATGATGAAAGGGGATTTGAAATAAATTGATCCAACTTGCTGAGATGAAAATGGAGCTGCAACACTTTGGGCCCAATCATAACAAATGTGTGTTACTGTTGAATCATTTTTGCTTTTTTCAATTATGTTGGTATAATGGCTTCTTTCCTGTTCTGCATCTGTTTTGTGATTTTTGTATTCAAATTTAAGATTTTCTTTTTCATCATCATCATTTGTAAATCTTATATCTCTTTCAAATGCTTCACAAGTATCACAAAGATCAGTTCCAGGTGATTGGAATTTAATGTATGGTGTTAATTGTTTCCATAGTTTGTAAAATGTATTATATTCAATTGGTCTAATAGATTCATATTCCAAATCAAAATAATTTCTAAATTCCTCATATACTGTAGTGTAATTTAAATAAGTTGGTAAATAAATGATTAATTCTGATTCATCCCTCATTCTCATAGGAGATGGTAATCCATGTAAATTTGAGTATTGCAATAAAAAATTCTTAAATAATTGTGCAATTTTGAGATCAACTATTGCACGTGATTTATTTTGAGGAACTTTACCAGTATTACCATGTATGCAACTTATTAAACCATCTGTTTTTAAATGTTTTTGCAAGGCTATTAATTTTTTTTTACTAAAACCACTTAGTTCTAAAAAAACTGGTTGACAAATTGGTATTGTTGAATTATATTGATAATTATAAGTATCTCTTTCTGTTTCATCATTGTCATCCTCATCATTTAATTTAAAAACCATCAATTGTGTTTTAATACAAAGATCCAGTTCATTGTCTTCTAATCCTTTTAACTGGAATTTTCTTTCCAAAAAATTTCTAAAGCCAATTTTTTTAAAACATATTTTATCTTTTTTTTTACAACATTTGCAATTTGATTCATCTTCAAAAAATAACTTCAAATCCTGGACTGCTTCAGATACTAATTCATTTGGTTCATATGCTTCTAATCCTAAATCATATAATTCATCTGGTAAAATTGAATTTTCAGGTGATAATTCCATGACATTTTCTAGATTTAAATTACTTGTGATATTACTATGAATTAAATCTATAGACAGTGTTGTCAAAATTGCCAGTCCAATCATTTTATTGGACTCTGGACCGTTTGGACCGGTCCAGTCCAATAAGTCCAGTCCAATTGGCGCAGTAAAAAAAGTGGCTTAGTTGTACATTGGACCAGTCCAATTGGTATTGGACTGGACTTGTTGACTTATTGGACTGGACTAGACTTTATTTGGACTTTGTCATACAAAAGATAAAAAATTCTCTCAAATAATTTTATTACTGTAAAGAATGTAATCACATACAATTTATCACTCTTTCAATGCCTCGAGGAAGTAACCAATATAAAAAATACTTTCATGTTTTACCTGATAAACCAAATGGTTATAATCACTTGGGTATTTGCATTGCTTGTAAAAGCTCTAATATAAATACCAACGAATTGAAAATAACTTTAACTAAAAAAACTTGTCATAATCATTTGTTGAATTGTAAATTTTTCTGAAATAATTTTTCAAATGAGGAAGAATGGTTAAATTGGGTTGCTGATAATGATACAGAAACTATAATTGAAAATGAACTTTATGATAATGATGAAGGTTTTATTAATACATCATCTAATGAAATAAATAATTTACAAAATCCTTCTACTCCTAGAGTTCCGAACGGGTTGGGTCAACCCGAGTGACCCACGGGTTATGACCCGTTCGGGTCGGGTCGGGTTGACCATATTTCGGGTCGGGTCATGAATTTGATTTGACCCGCGGGTCACACGGGTTGACATGGGCCCAATATGCCGAATTACATGACCCTTGTTTTATGCCATATCATGTGCCATATGCAATACATAATCCTTGTCTTATTATTAATTATTTTATTAATATTAATATTGATATGGCCAAAAAACACTAGCTGATAAATACAATGAATGTTATTATAATGCTGCTGCTGCTGCTGCTACTGCCACTAATGTTGCTGCCACTACAAATAATAATGAAAATATTTTTTTTACATTTTCACTTGGTATCAATTATAATAATAATCAAAAAGAAGATGAATTAGAGGAGTATCTTAGAAAACCTCCAGTAAATCCTCAAACAGATCCACTACAATGGTGGAAGGTAACAAATTAATTAATATCTGATATATTTATTTTTCAACATTAATTATTATTTTCATTAAATATGATAGGTTCATGAAGCCACCTTTCCAAATCTTTCCAAGATGGCATGTGACTATCTTGCAATTCCAGGTAAGATATCTTTTTTTAATATCTTTTATTTAATTTGTAAAAATAAATAAGTATTTGTATATTATTTAATGTAAGGTAGAAGTGTATCTGTTGAAAGAAACTTTTCAGGTGGTGGTGACCTAATCACAAAAAAAAGTTGTTGTTTGGAGAAAGAAATAATTCAAGCATGCATGTGCCTGAAAAATTAGATTAGAGATAATAATATTATTAAGTAAATCAAATTTTTAATTTTTTTTCTTTTTTAAAAATCCACTTATTTTACACATTGTATTTTTTTTAAAATTCAAATGAGCAAAATAAATCACATATATTAATTGATACTTGAGAAATTTTTTATATCTGACCCAGGTACCTGACCCGACCCGTTCGGAACACTATCTACTCCAAATAAAAAAGACTCTTGGGTATGAATTTTAGTGTATTTATTTATTAAAAAAGAATAAGATAAAAACAATAACTTTATTTAAATATCATTAATAGATATTAATACAAATAGAAAGTCAAATGTAAAAAATATTCAATCATATCTTTCTTGTTCTATTAAAGGCAATGACGTGAAAAAATTTTAACAATTATTAATTCACATGACAGTCTCCAATGGATTTTCTTTTCAATGGATAAATAATCCAGAAACAAAAGAACTCTTTTCTTGGTTAAACCCAACAATACAACTACCAGATCGTAGAACATTAGGTGGTAGAATTTTGAATGAAGAAGCAAATAAATTAAAAAAAGATTTAGAAATGATTGCTAAAAAAGATGAACTTGGTGTGTCTGTTATTTTTGATGGTTGGACCAATGTCAGAAAACAAAAGATATTGGGTACAATATTAGTAACATCATCTGGTCTTAATCTTATATGGAAAGCTGAAGATATTAGTACTGAAAGATCTCAATGGACTGATTTATATTCTTATATTGAAAATATTATTGATGAATTTGCTGAACAGGGTATAGAAATGAATTGTTTAGTAACAGATTCAGCAGGTGAATACACAGCAGCTAGGTATGTCATTAATTTTTTTAATAAATTATTGAAAAAAAATAATAACAAATATATTTATATATTTAGGAAGCATCTTTGTAAAGCTTTTCGTGAGAAGGTCTTCCTCCCCTGTTATGCTCATCAACTCAACTTGTGTGTTGGAGATTTGTTTAAAGAATAATCAAATTTTAGTAGAGTTTCAAGCTTAGCAATTGATGTTATTTCAACTTTTAGACAAAGTACATATTTTATGGGTCAATTACACACTGAACAAGAATCAATTTACAGAGGAAAATATGTTCATTTATCACTACCTTGTGACACAAGATGGAATTCATTTTTTCATAGTTATTTTAACTTGTTAAAAACAAAATCTGCACTTAAAGTAAGTCACCATTATACAATGTATTTCACTAATTAATATGATATATTGTAAATAGCTTATAATTTTATTTATCACAGTCTTTAGTAACTAAATTGAATCCAGAAGACACTTTATTGTTAATGAAAATGAAGTTATCACATTACCAATAAGGATTTGTAATATTATTGAAAATGATAGTTGGTGGTGTGATCTAAGAGACTTGTAAGATTACTACATCCATTTTGTGCAGCTCTAAATAAATTACAGAGGGATAAAGCACGTTTAGATCATGTATTATATAGTTTTGGTAAAATTGTTCAAATGATACAAGAAATTCCATCGGAAGAATTTAAAAATCAAATGTTGATACAATTGCAAAATTGGTGGTTTTCATGGGAGCAGCCTTTATTATTAATATCTTTCTTATTAAACCCACAATACAAAATGACAAAATTCAATTCCAACAATGAGAAATTAACTCTTCCTAACTTGGGAAAATGGATCATATATTATTATGTTGTTTGGTTTGATGAAAGACCCAATAATATTCTTAATGAATTGGAAGATTTTGCAAAAGGAAAAGATCCCTATGATCCTGATATAGCAGAACAATTTAATGATGACCCACTAAAATATTGGAGTTATATGGGTGGTGGTACTAATAAAGAACTTCATAAAGTTGCAAAAAGAGTATTTTCAATAACAGTGACAACTGCTGCAGTTGAATGCTTGTTTTCTAATATGGGGCATTTACATTCAGACAGAAGAAATAGACTTGATGTAAGTAACTCAATTGAATATAATATATTGTTATTGTTTGTTACTGACTAATTTTATTAATATTTATTTAGCATAACAAGGTGTTATCAATGGGTTAATTAAGGAATGACATGAATTATAGAAGAAAAAAGACTGAGATTGATGAATCACAAAAAAAATTCCATTCCGAAAATTATGTTGCTCCAGTTGAGGAATCAGAAATACAAGAAAGTGAAATAAGCAATGAATCTTTTATAGGTGACATTGAAAATGTGGTTCAATGGAATGCAGTGATGGGTCGGTGGATGGAAATGTTGAATGATGAGGTATTAGAAGAGGAAGAAGAAGAAGAATTAAATGAAATAGTAGGTCCAATAGGGTCAATTGAAAAATCAAAAGGACTAGACACCCAACTATTAATAGACAGAAAGGAAAATGGAAAATAGAAGAAATCTTTGAATATAATTTAGATGATCCTTCTTTTTATCAAGAATTATAAAATATATAATTTCTTTGTTATAATTTTTAAAAAATATTGTTAATAATAATAAAATTTTATCTGTCATCATTAATTTAAATGCTGAAATATAATTGGCTACCCCTTAGAATTGGTCCAAAGTCCAATAGATTTATTGGACTGGACTGCTTGGACTGGTCCAATAAGTTCAGTCCTATAAGTCCAATTGCCAACACTGTGTAATAGTGACTCATAGGTTTAGTCATTATGAGTCATAGCATTAGTAATTAGCAATTAGTAAGCTAGTGATACAGAAAATAGGATTAATAAGCATATTTTATTGGATAAAATATTGTAAAGGTCATGTTATTTGTAATACCTCAAGAGGTATAAAAAGACTTGGTTTTAGACCAAGTTAAAGGAAGATCGTGTTAATAACATTAATAATAATTGAATAAATATTTTTTCTTTTCTTTTCTCCCCCCCCCCCCCGTTGTTAATAATTAAATAAACACATTTTACCTTATTACGAATTTTTGCATAGTTAATAGGAAAAGCCATTGTGAATTGTTCCATGGTCCTCTCTGATGATTAGTAGCTGGCCACTAATTATTGGTTAACCCCTTCCCTGTTTGATTGTTCTATGCTGCTTGTAGGGATGCCTCAAGTGGTATAGTTGTAAATATTTCTTGTATATGTTCTTTTTATTTTATTTATTTATTTTAGGCTTTTGCCAGCAGTACTTAGTATTAGTACTGTAGAGAGAGAGAGAATTGCGCAATAGAGTTTTGAGTAGGCTCTGAGCTGTGTGCTTATACAGAGGCCTGAGATAGAGAATTGAGAACCCTGAGCTGTGTGCCGATACAGGGAGATTTATATATTGTACTTTTTATTTATTTTATCTTATATATTAATTGGACACATCATGAGCTGTATTTGAATTTACACGCTCGTAATATTTAATAGATTATTGTCTACCTTTAATGTAACACACACACCCACACTCAATTTCACACACTGGATGAAATTAGATGGTTTTGATTGGATATATTTCTAATAAAAGAGAATTTTGCTATTATGGAACTGATCTATCAGAAGAACAAGTTTATAATGCATGCATTCAAGCAACTGTAGATATTGAAAAGGTGATGAAGATGATGAAGGATATATCACTGGATAGGCAAATTTAAACTTATCACATGTGAAGGATCTGATGTTTATTTGAATTAATTTTAGACAAGGAAAGTTGTTATTGCCAAAAACATTTTTTCAATCAACAAGAGAAAATGGGGAAAATGGAGACTACAGTAACACTTCTATATAACGGAATGTTTACCTGGGACATTTATATTTGTTATAATGAGGTTTGGTATACAGAATTTATTAGTCAGCAAATTTCGTTATAGAGAATGTTGTACAGATACAGCAGAAAATTTGTACAATATTGACAGAATGAAATAGAGGCAAATGATGAAAGTGATGTGAGAGTTGTGCCGAATGAAATTTATTATTCTTTTTTTTTCATTTCTATTTAACAATCAATGTAAACATGCCATTCATTAATTTTCAAAAATAAAATACCATTTATTTTTACACATCATTGATTTTCACAACCTGCGATACTTATTTTTTTGCAATCAATAAAAAAAAAGTCTGACATATCAAAAAAAAAATTATGAGTATATAGACATTCAGTACTGTACTCTTTTGCATTCCTGTACTGTATATCTACAAAAATAGAAATTTTTTTAAAAAAGTCATACACCAACATACAGTACACAGCACCCCCACCAATCAAATGGATTCTGTACTTGTAACATTTAATACAGAAATGCTGATTTGCAGATCATACAGTACAGGAATGCAAAAGTGTACAGTACTGAATGCCTACTGACTGAAAAATTATGTAGATTGATAAAAATTCCTTCCCAAAAAATTAGGTTTGAAAAACAAAAGTTTTTCCCACTCAGAAATTATTAAGAAATAAAACATACCTTACAGACTTTGGAATAAGGTTGCTTGCCAAAACTCATCCAGAAATCAATCAGCAGGGTTTCGGCAGGTTACACATTAATTGTTTATTAGAGTTTCAGCAGAGTTTCGCATTTTGAGGTTTCGCCTTTCGGCATAGTTTCAACAGGATTTTTGATAAGATTTAATATAGTTTTGCCATGGTTTCAGCAATTACTAAGGAGGTTTCGCCCACAACCTTATATGGGAATGGAAGGACAATTCTGGATTGTAAGGAAGTATCATATGGAGGATGCAAATAGATGGATAGATTTTAAGAATCAAGCATGCAATTTGTTAATTATTGAAAATATAAAAGATCCAGAAAAATTAGTAGAGATGTTGGAATGTTTTCATCAGCATTTGTATATTGATAAGGTGGGAAATTGGTTAGATGAAGAATGTCATCATTGAGTAAAATTAAATTTATAGTTGTTATTACATACATATCATCCATCATTATTCTTTATACTTATACTTTAGTATAGCAGAAAAAACATAAAAAATAATTAGCTATATAATTCTTAAAATAACAACATTTTTAAATATTTATATATATATATATTTGCTGAATTGGAGAAATTTACTTTTCATTAATTACATATGCACTAAAAAATTTGTTGAAAAAGTTGCTTATTCCTTACAATTCTAATTACAAATGGATTGCCATATCTTGTGGATCGTTTTATAAGAACGGTTGTTGGATGTTACATATTATTACAAACAAAGAAATAAAATGTGTAAAACTTTTTCACTCATTTTATAAAAATTTTTGCTGCAAACCCTTACCCCTGAATATAATCTTACTAATTAAAGTTCAAATAGTTCAAAAAATGATTTGAACCAATTAAATTGCCAACGCTGACCATAATGGACTAGTACCATGACCAACCCTGGCTGACTAAATATTATTTTTTTTAAAAAAAAGAATGGTGGTTATCACCACAACTCGCCATTCTAGTTTAAATTAATAAAGTATAATGAAACTTTGGATTGCACCACTCATTTCTTACAACGAATTAAATGTGAAACATTCAATTTATTTTCTAAAGCTAAAAATTTGATGAAACATTAACAAGCGAACGTCTAAAAAGCGTATCTGTATAATTTAGCCTGCAGTTAATGTTGCTTGTCGAAATTAGAGAGTTTCTGCATTTCGAAACTATGTATAAAGTTTTGCTTTTCGGCATCAGGCTAAACGGGTTTTGGGAAGAACCTTAAGATGGATGGATTGAATGAATTTAATAATTTGTTAGGA